GCAGAGCATATTGCAGCAACAAATCCTCTGCCTCCTAAGAGCACCCCTTCCCTGAATGGCCACTTTATTCCCAGAAACTTCCCCAATGGGGCCCCTCGGGTTGACCCCCTGCGCAGTCACCAAAAACCATGCACAATCTCTGGATCTGGAAAGGACAGGATCAGGGAAGGCTGGTGGAGGCAGAGGAGAAGAGAAATGGGGTAGAGGGAGGAAGAATCAAGGGCGCAGGAGAACTGCCAGGCACTGCCTCCCATTACCTGTCCCCCAAGAGGGCTTCTTTCGGCTCCAGGAAGGGGGCGCCCCGGCCCGGACCCACTTCTCGGGCATCTCCTTGGGGACCGTCATGATCCCAATATGAGCGGGGGAGGGTGGATTGTCTGTCTGTCCTTGGCCTCAGCGGCGCTGGCAGGACAGCCCCCCAGAGAGGCGAAGGAGCAGAGGCCACTCAGAGGGGAGCCCCAGCCATCGGGCGCGCGCCCCACCCGCTGCCCGGGCCATCCTCGTGGCCGCCTGCTCCCGGGGACGCCGCGCGCCCAGCTGCGCCACCGCCGCGCCGTCAGTGCCCCTCGTGGACTCCAGCGCGAGCTGAGTGGCCCAGGCCGCCGTGCGCACGCACCCAGCAGTGCCCCCGCCCGCTCCCCAGACTGCAGGGGCAGCCGCCTGCCAGCGCGCCGCGTAGGCGAAAGCCAGCGCGCGAGCCCCGCCTCCCCCCGCCCCTCTCCCCCCGACCACGGCCAATGCGGGCAAGGGGACTGCCTACGTTGTCCGGGGCAACCGCTTTCATTTCCCCCCACACCCCACCCCGCCCGCAGGAAAATGAGGAGGACTAGGGTGGATGGAAAATGAGGGGAGAAAGGAAGGGAAGATACAAAGACCAAGAAGATGAGAGCGCAGTTCCCCAGGCTCCTAGGCCAGAGAGTGGGAGCTGCAGGTGCCCCAAGATAAGGGTATAGGTGTTTGGAGATGAGATGGTTCTCAGCACCCTCGCAGCATCGCAGCGGAGAACCCCTCATAGGGACCCAGAGGAATGAGTTCATTAACTAGGCTTCCCCCAGGGTGCGCAGGGGATACAATCTACCCTTCCTCAAATCCATACCCTTCCCTTTGCGCCCCCAGCCATAACAACACCCACTCTCAATAATCCCAGGGATTCCCCCTTCCCTTCCCTCTTATCTTACCTGGGGGACGCTTTTTTGCACACAGTGCCATCTCACCCAGCAAGGTCCCAGCAATCCCATGGGAGACCCTGCAGGAAGGTGACAGACAAATGAGGTCCATAAGCTGAGGGTAACCCTTCCTTGCCCTGATCAGACCTCTCCTGGAGGTCCTCTTCCCTTGCTCAGGTCCTGCTGATCCCCTAACAATTCCACATCAACAGTCTTCTCTTACTGCCCTGATAGGTCTCTGAGAAATAAGAGGGGATTTCCCCATCATTTCCCACCATGCTTCTGGCTTGAACAACACAGGGTGACTGACAGTTTACCAAAGCTAAGGCCTGCAGGAAAAGGAAGGGAACAGAAAGAAGAGGCTAGATACTGACAGCAGGTACCCATACCAGGGACAATGGATGCTCCTATATACCCTCCTGGTGGCAATGACTGGTGCTTGTGTTTACTAGAAAGCAAAACTTCCCCCTAGGGGTGGGGTTGAGGGAACATGAGCCAGGAAACACCTGGCAGGGCATCAGGAAACAGGGTGGGCAGGCTCTACCCTTCTCAAAATGATTTTGATCCCCTCCCCCCATGACTGGGACTTCCATTATCACCTCCTCCAGGGGAGCTCATGCTAGAGGCAAGGCACTCATTTCCTGCATAGACTGTCCCCACACCGCTTCCTCTCAGGATGGGTTGGCTGCCCTCTGGGCCACCAAAGGGGTCTCTGCAGGGAGTCACCCCCTCTTCCTTTCCCACCCTATTCCTTGTCCAGTCAGTATGGCACCCAGTGCAGGCTCAAGGAGCATCTGTCAGGGGGGCCTCTGCTTCTGTCCATCTTCCCATGTCCTTTTCTCTTTCTCCTGAAAAGGTAAAAGTCCTCGCCTACAAGACAGGGTCACAGAGCCTCATCCCTTATTCCCCAGCCTGGCCCAAAGGAAACTGCTCTTGTCATCTCCTCTCTTTGTCTAGGTGGAATGCCTTTCTTTTTCCTTCTTCTCCTTCATTCCCCTCCCTCCAGCCTACTAGGCACACCCGACAGCCTGTCAGCCCCAAAGTTACTAATTGCCTGTCTGCCCAACCTCTATAATTACAGACTCTGGCCACAGACCAGTCACCCACACCATGTTCTCCTGTCACTAGCTCAGACTCCCTGCCTAAACCCCAGACCAAGCAATACTGAAAGCCAAAAGTCCTTTTCCTCCCTGACCCTCCCCAACCATGGCAGCCATGGGTGCCTGGCTCAGGAAGAAATGCCTCATCCACATTTTACAGATGCCAAGGCCTTCTCCAGGGCCCCCAGCCAGGGTCTCCACCCAGTCTAGAGTATGAGTCATGGGAGGGTGGAGTGAGGAATGAGAGGTTAAACGAGAGGACGCAAGGGTGGGCATCAAAAGTGCTGTAGCCTGCCCCGACTTGAGGGAGGTTCATCTCAAGGATCACCCAGATCTGGGTTTGAGTCCTATGAAGGCGTTAATGAAGGACCCACACAAGCCTTCAGGAGTCTGGACATTGACCAGGAAAGTTGTTTTACCTCTAAGACCCTGGAGAGACTGAAAGCTATATTGGCCCCAGACCTCATCCTCTCTGGGCGACTGTAACAGGAAGGGAAGGGGAGGAGGAGACCTGGGAACAGGGACCCCCCTCTCACTTCTCCTTTCCAGTCTCATACAGCTTGAGTTTTCTGAATGGTCAGGCCCATCGGCCATGTCCACGTGGCCTGCCCGATCACCCTGCCCCAGCCCCCTCTGCAGCCACATTTGGGATAAAAATAGCCAGCTCTGGGAAGAAGGCAATGCCCCATGGAGGCAAAGAGCTCCTTCTCTAGGCCTGGCCCCTGCTCTCCCCCACCAAGACCCCCAAGCCTGCTCCCTTTTTTCAGAGGAGTCTGGCAGGAACATTGATTGGCAGGTCAGAGAAGTAGGAGGAAATGGAATCCTAGACCCCCAGTTCGCTTGGCACCACCACCACTCCCCACCCACCTTCCAGCCCCAAGGACAACACCCAAGACTCACCCCACAGCTCTGAGCTCCTAGTCTCAAATGGAGTTAGGGTTAAACCTCTGACACAACTACCACTCTCTCCTTGTACCCTTGGTTTTCCTCAGAACAGAAACCTCCACCTCAGAGACAAAGCCTACCAGTCTCAAACTCCCTTCCCTGCGCACACAAACCTCAGACCCGGTTACTCCTCCCTTGCCACCCCCACAACTCTCCAAGGCGGTTCTCCTCTCTCCGCTGCTCCGTAAGCTTCTCCTAGGCATCTCGCGCCCCTTTCCTAGTCCTGCATGCGCCCCTTTAGCACCCCATCCTCCTACACTGCGGACGGTCTCTTATCTCCCCCAGCCTCAGGCACTTCGACACCTCCTCTCTCCAATCACCCACTCTCCTTCCTCTGTCTCATCGCAGCTTCCGAATCCGTGTCCCCTGTCCTCCTCTGTCTGCACCCCCGCCCGGGCTCCCGCAGCCCCGGAGTCCCTAGTCCGCAGCTGCATCTCTGCCCTGCAGGCTCAGCGCTCGCGGCTGCCCCCGTCTCACCTCACCTCAGCGCTCGGCGCTCGGCTCCCGACCCGGCGGCCCCGTCCTGCCCATGCCGGGGGCTGGGGCGGGGGGCGCTCAGTTCAGCTCCCCACGGGCTCCCGCCCCCCCAGCTGCGGCCCCGCTCCCCCCGGGGAGTCCGCCAGCTACTTTGTGTCAGTTTCGGCCACGGCGGGGCGGAAGTGACGGAGGTGGCGGGAGAGGGCGGGGGGCGGGAGGGGGTTTCGGGGAGGAGTGGGGCAGAGGGAAGGCGGGAGCCGCCATCTTTGTGCGGGGCAGGAGGAGGGTCTTAACCCTTCCCAGGCTTAGTACTATAAAGCCATGCCCCCGTCCCACCCATCCCACATCCATCGCTCGTCAAAAAATGCAATTCGGAGGCTAGATGGCTCTGAAATTTCTCTTTTTTTAATCTGGGAGAAAGGAAACAGGAGAACGCTGCCGAAAAGAGCATCTTCTGCGGGAAGGGTGTGAGACTGGGGAAGCTGTGAACGAGAATTTTCTCAGCGCTTTCCAGCCCCGATTTATTTCTACACTCATGCCCCGTCCCACCCTCTGTTCCTGCTCCTTCTTTTCTCGCCCTGGCTCATCTCATTGTATTTTACCCTCTCCTTGAAAGACCTAGTTCCAGAAAGTCTTAAGGATTAGGTTCTGTCTCAGTTTCTCCGCCTCGCTCTCCGCCTCCCTGCATTCGAAGGGCTGTACTCCACCTCCTGTCCTCACTCCGCTCCCCTCCCACACACCACGCCCTCTGGGCGGAGGCAGTTCCTCCACCCCTAACTACTCTCTGAGGGTGGCTGACTTTAGGGGCGGTGTCCCTGTAAAGGTAAAGGCGTGCAGCTGTGGGATTACGAGGGCTGGGGGGGTCTGGCTGTGGGGACCGAGCTCTGGAGGAAGTTCCCCTAGTTATATCTCTTACCCCTCCAAGTCCCACCCAACTCCCCTCCACTGCTGGACCGTCCGGCCCCCTCCACCCTAAGGATTCCCGCCGCCCTCCAATCCAGCATCCATGGTGCGCACCCTCTGGCGGTTACTTTGAGGAACTGCGTGCTTGGAAGCCTCCCAGGTTCGGAAAACCCACTCGAGGGGAGGAGGGAGTGAAGAGCCTGGGTGCCTGGACTTCATCTCCCTCGAGTTTTCCCCTGCCAGGCATCCTTCCCAGTTTAGCAGGAAGAGATGCCTAGATGGGTGAAAGAGAAGGAAGGTCATGCACCTTCTGAGGGCCTGACGTATTAATATAAAGAGAATATCGTGTCATTAGGCCTGGGTCAGTGGTCCTCTCCAGCGTCCATGAGGGAAGTGAGTTGTGTCCTAATCATAGCTTACACTCCAGCATCTGAGCTAAAGCAGGAGTTTCTAAGTCTGAGGCTTTGTGTTGGGCAAACTCCAGATCCTGAGCTGGTTCTGATTCCTCAGGGTGGTGCAGAGCCACCAGCAGCTGGTATGTGGCTGTGCCAAGCACGGCCCCCACCAAGGGGGCCACCACAGGCACCCACCACCAGCCATTACCAGCACTGCAAAAGAAGGATGAAAGGGAGAGGTCAGGGTTAACTTTCGTAGCCTTTCCCCACAGGGACTAGAAACAGTTAACAAGAGAACTCCATAAAGTAGTTCCTGGGGTGATGGACACCAGGAAGAAGCTATCTTAGCACCAAAACATAGCACTTAGATAGGAGGGGACCCCAGGAAAACTTGGTCCAACCCCTTGTCTTAGGAAATATCTGAATATACCCTTTTTGCAGGGAGCTCTGGTAGCATAGTGCCTGAAACACTTGACTGCTAACCAGAAGGCTGGTAGTTCAAACCCATCAGCCACTTCTCAGAAGGAAAGTTGGAGAATCTACTTCCGTAATGATTGTTGCTGTTATATGCTGTCAAGTCAATCCGACTCATAGCGACCCCTCCTTGGGTTTCCGTATCACTACGGAAGTAGATTGCCCCATCTTCCTTCAGAGGAGTGGCTGGTGGGTTTGAACCACCAGCCTTCTGATTAGCAGTCAAGTGCCTTAGGCACTACGCCACCAGAGCTCCCTCTGTAATA